TCACATTTGTATTCCTAGTTTACTCAAATGCCTTCAGCAGCCGAACTAATGTCTCATAAAGAACAACTATGACCTCAAGGGAATCTTGTAGAAGGCACTAAGCTGTTGAAGGCCAAAAAGAAGTTACAACTATTTATACCAAAATTCCTGATCCTAAGTCATACTATATACATATATCATCCCTATCTTATATTGTATACAAGTCATATATATGCGAAGATTGTTTAAGCAGCAAATCCCACTATCATATTTTAGAACTTTTCAAAATTCCATCATGTTTAATATAAGTTTCAAGAGTATGGCCCATATAAGTACTATTATTCCGCATAGAAACAATAGCTTGATTACAAGATCATGTTTTATAAATGGGTGGCTAAATATGCAAAGACAATCTTGCTTGCAGGGACATTGTATTAAAGGTTAGGATGATGGTAATTACTAACAAGCATTTTGGAGATGACTGGACACAAAACTGGGAAATCTGATTTCCAAACTCCACTTGAACATGAAAGTTACTGGCTGATATTGACGTACCCCCTCACCTTGATCTCCCTTGTATCATTACTGTGATAATAGCATGTAATTAATACTCAGAATTGCAAAATCCAACCCTCCCCATATCATTTGGAAAATATAGATTCTACTTCCTGTACCCGTGGGTCTGTTCTAATAAAAACGTTCCCATCATGATAACATTTCTTAAAAGCAGGGAACCTGACATTTGCTCTTCAGTAAAAGCACAAATCTCTGTACACTTAAAACATAAGAAGCTGGAGCTGTTTGTTGACAAATGAAATTAACAGGTCTGGACAGGTACCTTGTAGTGGGAGGGATGGAATCCTTAAAATTTTTGTTTTGGCCAGGATCTGTCAAGTTCAGCCTCAGAGTATTTGAAAGTTGACCTGTCTCCAAAAAAATTGGTCATGCTTCTTGGCAATGAGAAAAATGCTAGAAATATGCATAATTCTGCATTAATGTAATGTAAGTGGTTTGAAGTGACCTGGGGGTAATCAAGAATTGTATTAGTACTTTCTTTGAAAAGCTGGTTCTTCAGCTGCATGTCTTCTTGAATTGTTACCTGTTTTCTTTCTTGTTTGTGCCACAGTAGATGGCCTGGTAAAGATGGACAACATAAGTCCTACCAGGTATATAACCTAAGTTAGCAGTTTCACCTGAATTACTACCATGTCCAGACTAAATTACAAACCATTTTTTTCAGGATAAAAGCAGGGAAAGCCAAGCAGAAGCAAAAATAAATAAATAAAAATCAGAGAGCTTCAAGTAACATTTTATGCTTCTTAATCCTGTAATTAAAAAGTCAGAAAATATAGTTTGTCAAGTAAGATTAGCTTATTTTTAAGCATAATGCTTTCCTTCCAACACATTAGTCTGTTAAGAAGATGTAAAGAACTGTTATAAAAAACCTCTATCTGTGAAGGCCCATAATATTGGATCAATATTAAATCGTAGTGTCCAGTGCATAATTCTGTCCATCTTCTCATTCTTGTATTCAAGAATCATAAAATATAATGGCACTCCACCATTCTCACTCATTCTTCGCTATATAGCATAACCTATAGGACAACATTACATTGTGTGTCTTACGTTGTCTGTCCCTTTATGATTATATTGTATGATAAATCAGATGGACTCAGAGAGTACGAACACCATAAAAATGAAACTGAACATAGAATTCATGCACTCGGAATCAGAACAGACTATGTCGCAAAAAAAAAAAAAATGAAATTTACCATGTTCATTTAAAAAAATATATCTTTATTTAAAGGCATTTCAAAAGATGGATTTAAAAAGCACAAGGGTGCCCCTTAGTGGAATTTTAGCTCACATAACTAAGTGCAATGCATTACAGAGCTGTTCAGAATTATAGCAGTTGTTCATTTTATTTTATTTTGAGCACTTGAAGAAATCTGCATTCACATTTTCTCCAACTGCATTAATCACATTGTAAATTATTCTTCTAATTTTAAAGTCAGTTTAGTTTATTCGTTCTTCCGTGTCCACAGTCCATTGGAATAGTTAGGGAACTAAAAAGAGAATATGTTTAACTTTAGTATCAGATTATAATTGTGTTAGTTGTATTTACCATTTTCATTAAGAGCAAGTATAGAGTGGTTAATGGTTTAAACTTAATGGTTTTAAGTCCTGCCCTTGGGTTTGTCAAGTCTTAACCTCATTTCATTTATTTTAATTAGATAATTTCCTTAATAGGTTGTAAGAATATACCTTGGCCTAAGCAAAGCATATGTAAAGGAAGGTAGAGATGTTCTTTGGAAGAGAGGTTTTCAAGATTCTGTTTCTATACCCTAGAACTGTGATGGCAAACCTATGGCATGCGTGCCCGAAGTGGCATACGGCACCCGTTCCTCTTTCGGGTTTCTGGGATGCATGCACACGCAGCGATCAGCTAACCTTTGTGCTTACATCAGTGCCGGAAACTGGAAGAACTGGACTTTCATTTTCCAGCATTTTCATGTGCATGCGCGAACTATTCCCTTTTCGGCACTTGGTGCTGTGTGCGCTCCCTTTTTGGCACTTGGTGCTGAAAAGGTTCGCCATCACTGCCCTATAACAACAAAGTAGAATTCCAGAAATCCTTATGGCAGTGGTTCTCAACCTTTTTTTCACCATGGTCCCCTTTAAATACCTTTTGTGGTGACCACGGACCTCCCAAACTTAACTCAAGATTTAAATCATAACATTTCTTAAGCCTTTGCAGACTTCCTGTGATGGCATTACTTCCCTCCCAGGGTCTATGGACCACAGGCTGAACCACTGCCTTATGATATTTGTTTTTTCACCTGACCTACTTGAAGGACTGGCATCAACTTTGAAAGCCAGCAATCCAAGGTGATCTCTTTAACATTCCTTTCCAGGATTTGACAATACATTCCATAGTATTCTGTTTAGCCACCAAGAGTAATCTAAACTGGATGGCATTAACAATTATGTGGATATACAGTTGTCCCAAAGTTGTACTAAAAGACATCCTCAACAATTCCTAATCAAACTGGAGCCACTGTTTGCGGCTGAGTTCCAACAAGCTTCAGCCATAGATTGTCTATTTTTTAATATTTTCTTAATCACTTCTTCTTTATCTTCTTTATCGAAGTGGAAGGGATGTTTATTTGCAGATGATACAAAACTAGATGGGATTTTGAGAAAGAGATTTCAGGGATGCTTGTTAGGTTAGACAGGTTGAAAAACAATAGAATGAAATAGGCAACAGAAACTTATGCACTTGGAAGACAAAAATTGCATGCACGTATTATGGACAGAGATACCTGGCTTGGTAATATTATTTATAAAAAAAGATTTTAGAATAGTTGATTGCAAATTGAATATTATTCAGCAGTGTATTATGGCAGCAAAAAATACAAATTTAATTCTATTATATAAAGTATAAAAGTGTAATTTCCAAATAATTGGAATTAAGAGTTACAGTATTTTGCATTGGTCAGGCTCCATTTAAATGCTGGGTCAATTTCTACCCACCAGATTTTAATAAGTTTCCGCTACATAGTTTTTCTGAAATGCAAATAAGGATGATTTACAGCTAGTAACTAATATGATGAAGAAGACTGCAAGAACCTTGAGAAGACTGAAGGGAACAGAACCCTTCAAGTATCTGAAACTTAAGATTTATTCTGAATTATTCCAGAGACCCTTTGAAAGTTTCTTGACAAAGTTCAAAGCCTTTATTGTCATTGTATGTCATGTAAACAATGAAATTGGTTTAGCCTCTACTGGTGCATAGACAATAGACAAGACATAGACAATAGTCAAAATTTGTTCTGATTTATTCCAGACAGGACAACGAATAGTAATTTAATATTAAAGGGCAGATTCTGGTTGAAAGGTAACAAAAACTTTGTAAGAGCAGTTTGATGGTGGAATCCATTACCCAAAGGAATAATGGCTTCTCCCTGAATGTCTTCAAGTGTGAGTTCCAGAGTAATCTGGATTTCTGCACTGAGCAAGGGGGTAGATATGATGGCCTTTCCAACTCTATGATTGTACAACTAACTGGCAAGATATAAATTCAAATCCCTATTCAGATATGGAGCTCTCCATATCTTTGGCTCAGTTATTCTTTCTCAGTGCTGTGTGGACAAATCAGGGAAGATTCCAAGGGTGAAATTCAATTTTTTTCCCTACTGGTTCTGTGGGCATGGCTTGGTGGGCGTGGCAGGAGAAGGATATTGCAAAATCTCCATTCCCACCCTACTCTGGGGGAAGGATATTGCAAAATCTCCATTCCCTACCCACTCCTGGGGGAAGGATATTGCAAAATCTTCATTCCCACCCCACTCTGGGGCCAGCCAGAGGTGGTATTTGCCGGTTCTCCAAACTACTCAAAATTTCCGCTACTGGTTCTCCAGAACCAGTTAGAACCTGCTGAATTTCACCCCTGGAAGATTCCTTGTCATTTATGTAGACCGGTATTCCAGAGAAGCAAGATATGACAGAAATGCAATAAATAAAAATGTTTTATTACTGTTTGATTTTAAATTCTGGCTTGCTCCCCATAGGAAAGACACTTACAAACCTTATCATAATTATAAGGTATTGCTAATTATTAAAATATATGGAACAAAGCTAAGGCTGCAGTTTTACTCATCTGATTATAATATATGGTATAATGAACAATCTTGACTTCTAACTATAGTAATGTAAAGGCTTTTTATACAAAAAAATAATATATGATGACATTGTGCATAATGCCTCTTAAAGCACTGTTTATAATAAAAAGACAGAGGCTATAATTCATATTTTGAATTAGTTTGTCAAAATGATGACAATAATTTTCTATATATATAAATATAGAGTTCTCTATATTTCCAGGTCTTCTTAATGGTGCTCTTTGAAGAGGCCAATGACAGAGGTTTTCCTTTATTTAAGAGTTCAGGATTTGAGAATGCCAGGATAAGAGAAACTGATCATCTCTAAGTAAATGATTTATACCTTGTAACGTACTGTAGTTTTTTATTGCAGAGAGAAAAAGGGACAGACGAAAAAAACCAAAGAGAGAAGAAAGCAAAGAAACCAGTCAGGAAAACAGAGGCCAAGAATCCAGAAGGCAGGGCAGAGATCCAGAGAAAAAAAACAAAACGCAACCGAAGAAGAGAAGAAACCAGAATAAACAGCAGAAACTAGTTGCCATCAGCACTGCACACTAACCGCCTTACACCACTGTTTAAGACTATTGCTGCTGCTATCACCACCAGACCCCCAGGGTCCGTGTTTCCCAATTATCACCAATAGACAATATTACAAGTTATACTTAAACAACATTCCAATTCTTACTATATTCTTCATGCAGTCACAGTTTAATCGGAAGACTGACATGAAGCAAGATTTTGTTTAGTTTTTTTTTTTTCTTTAAATGGGATACGTTCAGTCTTATATTACATTCTTCCATGCATCTCTTAAAGAGTGTCTCAGCAGGTGGCACTGCCTGGTTGATCTTGTCAGGCTTGGAAACTCGGCAGGGTGTGGCCTGGCTAAGTTCTACAAGATTGGCAAAGTGGTAAGCAAAACTGGGAAGTCATAAAAAAAAAATCCCAGGAGAAAGGAATGGTAAACCAATTCTGTACTCTCGCTGAGGAATCTACGTGGATGGGTCCCTGAAGTCACCAGGAATCAAGTGGATTCAAAGAGACTTTAGCTTTTATCTCTAAGGGTCAATTTAGAAGCTTGTATATAATTATCAATATGGTATAAGGTATAACAATATATTGGATGACTACTTTTTCTTCTGTAAAATATTTTTTCAACCCATTCTCTATGAAGCAAAAAATGCCTAAGGTAAAAGATACAGTATCCCTAGATGCATCATTACAGTATATATGTTGCATAAGGAGAAGGAAGAAGAAAATGTTTTAAGAACTGAACATTCAATACTGCAGTCTTATCAGAATTATGTTCACTGGATTTTGCCACAGATTCATATTTGAAATTCCAGACTGAAGAACTCCAAGGCTCTGAAGCAAAGGCACAAAAGAAATGGAAGCCCCAGTAAACATATTGCAAAGACAAGCATTAGATAGTACTATTATTTGCAAGATAGCAGAATATTTTCTGTCAAAACCTTGGTAATACAGCTGTTCTATGCTTTATAACATTCTTGTAACTGAAATCTTCCAGTGACTGACAAATCATATGGGGGGAAAAAAGCAAAACACTGAGATAATAAAGAATGAAGATGGGAGATCACACAAATCGGACATTTGCACTGATGACTTTTTCATCCCTCTTGTAATTGAACATTGTCACACAGTCTGCTTTGTAAATGGAGAAAAGTATGCTGTTCTTTAGAAATGTTTTATCTAATAAACTAAGGCCACTTTACCAAATATAAAAGGGGAATATCCAATTAACTCCTCTAGCTGATGGAGTGATGGAATGGCAGAACAGGCACAATGGTGGTTATCATGCTATCAGCAGAGTGGGAAAGAATTCTTTAGGGTTGGACAAGAAGAATAAATATTTGTACACTATATCTGAATTTACAGAGTTTCCACAAGCAGAAGAATAATATCACTCATTTTTTTTCTTCTCTCACATTCAATGAGTGTCAAGGTTGAGTTTATTCACTATGAACACAAACATGCTCTAACATTTTTCTGGTCTGTTTTCATAACGTGGCCTTTCTCGGTTCCCCAACCCATTCCCAAGGCAGCCTTGAATCATTGTTAATGGTACTCACTAGAGTGTGGTTATCATATCTCTCTTATCTTGACAGAGCTTTGCAGGGGACACAACTTGGCTGACTATTTTGTCAGCAAGGTGACCCATGTCTATTAGTTGATTTTAGGCTAATATTAGCATGCGTTCTTCCCCCTGATTCCCAGGAACTGTCTTCAAGGGCTGTTGTGCTTTCGGCAGCAGAACAGTCTGGTTCTTTAAAATTGAGTTCCCCGCATCCCCATTTCTGCCAGATCTCTGAGTCAATCCGTCATTCTGCTTCTTGGAGCACCCTTAAACAGCAGCTAGCCTACCGTAGTGGCAGGAGGGGAGCCACTGCAGGATAGCTATCTGTGCTGCTTCATGGTCTTCACAGCTTCACAGTCCCCCTCATATCTGTGAATTGCCATTCAGGCAGGCTGCTTTAGAACACTTTTTTTCTGAAATAACTCAATCTGCCAATGATCGCTGACCTACTGAACATGACTTTAGCACTCTTCTAGAATAGCACTAAATCTGTCTCCAGTTTCATTCAGATACGGGGTTAGCAGACAACAGCACTAAACTCATCTCTAAAAAGGAGCAATTTGTCACTTCCTTTTCAAAACCACAGAGACAAAACATTTACTAGTCTGACCACTATCGAATTTGCCTCCTTCCCAGTCTTAGCCCACACTGACTTTCACAGGGGACTCGAACAATGTGCCTTGTACATTGTGAATAAGTGTCAGCCATCTGAGGTAGATCAAGTCAGGAAACAAACCCCCACAAGAACACTAGAACTCTATTTTATTTAGACCATAATAATAGAATCTTGAAAGCCTGATATAATTTATCTTTCCTTCCCTCTTTTACCCAAGAGTGTCCAGGTAGGCCAGTCCCAAGTTTCTCCCTCAGACGCTACTGTCTATCTGGGCTTTGTTCCTGTACAATAAGGATAGTTTCATTTGTTGGCATCATGCCTGCTTCAAAATAGAAATTGCTACCAAGGATGGCAGATTGTATGCCAGTACAAAGACAGATGGATTACACTTCAACCATGAGAAAGAACCCTAAACAAGCTATGAACAGAACAATTCTCAGAATGGAGTTATCACAGATTAGGAAAATTAATTTTGATTAATTAGTGTTAATACTATTTTATTTTGTGAAAGGCCATTTATTTATTTTTCCTCACAAGCTACAGGGCAGCAGATAGGAAATTATTTTTGAATACAGCAAATCAATTGTGTTCTGACAACTAAAAACTGACCAGGATTTCTCTTGAGCTGGTCAGATTTTGCAGTGTTGTTTAACGAAATATCAACAGTTCCTTAAAAAGGAACCATATTTTCAACTGTATAACAAAACTAGCACCTACTCATGCTCTAGCCTAGAGCATTCACTTTAAGTTGAAATATCTTGTTTCAAAAACGATATTACTAACTATAATAATGATACAGTTGATTTGGATACTCGCATTCCTTTTACTTCCTAGTTCAGTTTAAGTACGAAAGTCAAGTGGATTTGGGAATTACCTGATTTTTGGCTTCCATACTATTACACAGAAGTAATTTCCTAGTTAAATTAACTTAGTCTTGAAATTGAATGAGTTCACTATGATGATTAGGACTTAGCTTTTTCTTATCCTTGCCCTAAAATGGTAAGCACGAATGAGATTTTATAGCCTGGCTGGATCCCAACATTTATCCACCTGACTCAGAAAATCCTCCCCACCCTTCATTTTCAGTATGTGATTTATGCTTCTCATATAGGAGAAGAGATAGTTGCCTTGGCGTGAAACTAATGATGATTATGATTAACAATTTCTAAAAAGAAGTGCAAAGAGATTTCTTACAAGTGATGTCAACTATCACGCTGCCATTGCCCATGGCTGCATTTGTTAATTAATAGCAAGGTATCACAGGAGACAGAACATTGCTGATTAATGCATGACTTGGGTGCAAAAAAAATAATAATAATAATCATGGCATCTTAAATGTCTCAAAGGTGCTGTTTCAAAAGGCAACTGGACTGTGTTCCTTTGTTGAGGAAGACATTTTGCCTCTCATCTAAGAAGCTCCTTCAATTCTGATTGTCAGAATTGAAGAAGCTCTTAGATGAGAGATGAAACATCCTCCTCAAAAAAAAAAAAAAAAAAAACCCTAGTCCAGTTGCCTTTTGAAAAAAACACCTTTTGAGATAACCATGACCTGGATGACTGAGAATCTCCATAGAAATGTTATCATATAGCACTACCAAAGAGTCTGCATCTTGAGAGAAATCCCAGCTGCAATATCTGTAATTGGAAAATGGGCATAAAAGTAATATTATTAACATTAATATTAAAAACATGTATTAAAAACTTAATTTTAATAACTCAATGTTGCTTTTTCATAGGATTTTGCATTTTCTAGTAACTAACCATTGTTTCTTCCACCTCACTTACGGCAATTGTGAATTCCCTAGAGTGGAGGCATGTAATGTACAAACTTGGAAGCTACTGATTTAAAAATAATAAGGTACTATGTAACTATGTATATGTATATGTAACTATGTATAGTTACATATGTAACTATGTTACAGTCCTTTTGTAATTATTTCCTCCACTCAAGGCCACACAGGTAGAACAGCTATGCTATTACTGGCAAGAGGGGAATTCCAGCATTTTTAATCCATTTCCTCCATTTTAGTGGGATTTTTTAAAACCTGTATTGGTGTGCTAAAACTGTCAAAGCTGTGCAACCCCTTAACTACTAATTTGTGATGGCACTATTTGGTTTGTTGTACAGACTGGGGAAGAGGACGGAGTGTTAGAAAGTCCACAAAGTCTACGGTTTCCCCAATCCATGCTAAAACTGGGGAAAGATTTTAAAAACAGCATTAACATCTGTTCCTATACATTTAAAGTGCCAGCTCCACTTCTACAGTATTGTATGGGTAATTAGAAATGGTAATAATTATATGCATCAACATATTCTTCAAATTCTTAATATACTAGGACAATTTGATTTGAAAAACAAAATTATGAATTTAATTTTCCAAGAAATATTTTATCATTGCTGTTGTTCACCATACTTCCTAGGGAAGCTGGATATTGCAATTCAGCAATATGTTGAGACCAGTGGTGGGATTTAAGTAATTTAACAACCGGTTCTCTGCCCTAATGATTTCTTCTAACAACCAGTTTGCCAAACTGCTCAGAAAGTTAACAACCGGTTCTCCCGAAGTGCTGCGAACTGGTTGAACCCCACCACTGGTTGAGACCCCTAAAAAGTGTGGAGAATGACAGCAAATTTGTTGTGCTGTTTTGTTTTTCAGAATTGATTATTCTACAATGTTGAGAATTACGACTGACAGAGGAAGTTTAAATGTCTCCAAAGTAATACATGAATCAGTGTGTGTGACATTGTAGACATAAGGGATAATATATTATGTTGATAATTATTTCCATTTTTATCCATCCATGCAACCCTGTGGAATTGGAGCTGCTACTTAAAATATATAGGAACAGATATTAAAGCTCTTTATCTCCATCGTTCCACTGTTGTTGAAACTATGTTATGCATCAGATTGTTTTTTCTTTTTGCTTGTTATATTCTGCAAAGGGCCTTATACTTTGATACATGAGGACTTATGCTGCTATGTAAACCTCCATTAAATAATGCCTAATTTGTGTGCCCTAATCTACTGATTAAAAATTCTTCTGATGCCATATCATTTGTCCTTCCAACAACAGTGAAACAGAAGAGATAAAGAAGATTACAACCAAGATGATGTGATTAAAAATAAGCTGATTCAAATGTTAATTTTGCCATATTATTTGTATGAACTAATTGCCATCAAAAAGGCTTAATGCAGCTTTCTACATATTTTTACCTCCATACTCCATACACAGGAGAGACAATGTCTTGATCATCAGACCAGTTCTGCCTCAAACATCAGCAGATCAACTAGCTATCTTTGTTATTAGTTCCTAAAGAAATAGCAATGACAATAAGACTTGCTATTATACACTCTGCAATTTTAGGCCATATATGAGACCTCAAAAGGTTATATATTATTAATTTTGTCAACTTAGATCAGCTGAAAAGCCAAAGGAATACAAAACCAACTGGAAATTAAAACCTTAAATATGACTGGCTTCCAAAGACAGCATTCTGTGTCCCAAGCTTTACAGCAAACAATATGCCAAATACAAGGACAGAGTTTTACTTTGTCATTATGCCTTAGAAACTTTAGTGCCAAACTCATCATATTTCATCACTATCACCAAATACAGATTAGTAAGGATATCAGGACAAAACAATTATAGCCTATTAAGGACAGGAAAATGGACAGCAGTCCATTTCTATCAATGCCTGCGATGAATGCTTCATGATATATTAATTTGATCCAGTAAGTGCAACTGGAAAAAATAATTAAGGTTTCTTGTCCTATTGTGCAGCATACTGCATATGCATGAGTGCATCCTAATTAGTCCCACTGAATCAATGTTACAAAGAGACACAGAGCTTGAAAACAAACTCAGAAACAGCCACAGATGTTTCTCATTTTTAATTATAACCAATATAACTGGCAAAACATCATTGTCATGGTTACATGTCACACTATTACTTTTAAAAAACAAGAGCCAGTGGAATGTCAAGGAAATGAATGGACCAAGTAGCCCTGGATACTTTTAATAATAGTCATTGTTGGCAATTCTTGAAAAGAAAATCTCAGATGCTTTGCTTCTTGCTGACTTTGCTAACCTGCCTTTGATTCCCTTTGGACAAAACTCTCCAGCCTTTATGTCACTAGACATCTGAAGTGTTATACAGGACTCCAGAGACTGAAACTGCCATGTCTAATTAGGATTTCAAGATTTATTTTGGTAACCAAAAGATTTCATCAGACTTTTTTTTTTTTAGAAGCACCATATCTTATAATTCTTTTCTAAAGAGTGCAAATATGTTTTTAACAACTTAATAAGGTTTTTTTAAATGCACTCTGCTTTTTATATCTGTATTTTTTTAAAAAAAATAATAATTAGACATGTTCATGGAAGTTAGCCTATTAGCAATTTAGTAACAAAATCTTTATGAAATTATTTTGAAAATTCATGCAGCAGCCATAAATTTTAGATTTCCATGGACACTGGAATTTTCAAGCCAACCCACTGATCTGCAGCGATATATAAAATAAAAATATAGACAGAGATGGAAAATGGAGCCGCAGGGAAGGAAACGAACTAAACGTTCAGAGATCAGGGACAAAAGGAGGTGCTACAGGAAAAAAAAATAGTACAGAACAGGACCATAAAGCATGTATCATGTTTCCCTGAAAATAAGAGAGTCTTGTATTTTTTTGAACCCTGAAATAAGCACTTGGCCTTATTGCCATGCGTTCCAAAGCTCAATTGGGCTTATTAACAGGGGGTGTCTTATTTTGGGGAAAACAGGGTAGCACCATAGAGGATGAAGTGGACACATAAATTAGAAAAAAATCCAATCCAATCAGAATAGTCAGCATAAGACAGGAGATAGAATAGAATAACAGGGACCTTGGAGGTATTCTAGTTCAGCCCCCTGCTTAGGCAGGAAACCACTTCAGACAAATGGTTATCTAATCTCTTCTTAAAAACTTCCAGTGTTAGTAATGAAACCAATGAGAAGAGCAATACAGGGGATATTGTGGTCAATGTGAAAGACTAAATAGCCTGCCCGCTCAACCCTTGTCTGAGCCCAAAGCCTGGGGGAAGAGCCAGATTTTCATGACCTTCCAGAAATAGGGATACATCAAATGTCAGGTAGGAAGAGTTGGGGTGGCTAAGAGCTTGATACCTCCAAGATTGCAAGACAACATTTAAGAGAGCTCACCCACCCTATTTAACTGAATAGGATGACAAGATGGAGAGATCGTCCCACAAATAACCTGGTCATGTGCCATGTAGGGCTTTAAAGGTGATAACTGGCACCTTGAATTGCACCTGGAAAGCAAGGGGGAGCCTGTGCAGCTCACACTGTACTGACATAACTCATGTGAACAATGGAACAAGCAAAACTATGCAGCCACTAATTTCTAAACCAAATTATCTTCAAGAACAGCTCTGTGTAGAGCACACAGCAGTAATCCAAATCAGAGGTGACTAAGGCATGAGTGACTGTGAGCAAGGATCCCTTATTTAGATCCCTTTAGTGCTTTACAGCACTGTAATAAAAAATGTACGTTTGTAAAAATGGCTGTTCTATTTTGCTTCCATAAAAAGGTATGCTCCGTAAAATGATAATGCAGTGTTGGAAAACAAAGATATTTGCAAAACAGAGCCTTTTTTAAATGGGGGGAATTAAAGAAGGAGCAGATTTGAGGAACGGCTCTTATATAAGAATTATATCTCCAAATTTAGAATTTATACAATCTGGAAAACTGAAGGCCTGAGGGTCTGCTTATCCACCAGGGCTGTGGAGTCGGGAGATAAATGTTCCGACTCCAACTCCTCAGTTTTTGTACTTCCGACTCCGACTCCGACTCCAGGTACCCAAAGTTTCCTCCGACTCCGACTCCTCGACTCCGACTCCACAGCACTGTCAGGGCTATGGGGTTGGGAGATAAATGTTCCAACTCCAACTCCTCAGTTTTTGTACTTCCGACTCCGACTCCAGGTATCCAAAATTTCCTCCGATTCCGACTCCGACTCCTCGACTCCGACTCCACAGCACTGTTATCCACAGATGACTTATAATATATACAGGAAACATGCATACTTAACAAAAGTATTGTTTTAGGTGCATTTTGGCATTTAAAATTCTCAGTTTACCCATAAGTTCATATACTATAGAAGACATGTTTCTTATTTCATAGCAAACTACGTTTAAACCAAAGTGTCAGGTTTTTCAATATAAAGGAGTTTGGGCTTTTGGTATGGCAGTTGGACTGGTCTCCAGAGAAGCACATATGGGATGTATATATAGCTAGGGCAAGTAAGTAGACCAACACTCAACACAAAACCTTTGTTACACATTCATATTGATCTTCATAATCATAATCTTCAGCTGATTTTCAACAGCAATGCTAGATTAATTTTTATTAAAATTTATTTTTTTAAAATCCCATTTTTATTACCATAAAAGTAATTCACAATAATAAACATATATTAGTCCTTCATACTGAGTTGAGAGAAAACAACTGGACCAAAAGCACTCATTCATTTTTTGTTAATGTCCCTAAGGTGGGAAAAGAACTGTTTCCTGGTTTCTATACAACACTTTTAACTATTACACAAAATTCTCTCTTTCTCTCTCTTTCCCTCTCCACACACACTCACACACAAATATACACACAAGTTTTCTTGCAATAAAAGGCAAAGGAAATCCAAACTTGCTTTGTTATTTTTCACC